AGAGTAGATAGCCAAGAGCTATAGCATTCATAATGAAATATACTAAATGCAATTTTATGATGTCAGTTCTTGGCATTATAATCTATGTAGCTGATTTAATTGTGGACATCTGGGTATCTGTCAGGTTTTTCCACGAAGGACAGTATATTTTTGGTATCTTAACATTAAGCTTTATGCTTTTTGGAACACTTGTGGTCCAGTGTTTTAGTTATTCTTGGTTCAAGGCCGATTTAAACAAAGCAGGCCAAGAAATTCAGCATTGCTTTCTTCTACTTCATTGCTTACAAGGAGGAGTTTTTACAAGGTGAATATGTGCTTTTGATCACTAACATTGTTTTCCTTTTACCCAAACAAGCTACCTTATTTCTATGTAAGTAGTCAGATGTACAAAGGTTCCCTATTTGCAAGGAGCACAAAGGTTACTTGCTCCTCACTGTGGGTGTGCACATGAGTCATTGCTGTGCTGTCAGAATTTCCCAGATTCATTTAGCTAATTAAGTTGCTTTTTCGGGTATGTGCTCAGTTTTGTGTTCTGTGTATATTGTAAGCCTGATAGTGCAAATGTAGCTTATCACTTGCACCTCTGAGAGAGTACTTCACTTATTTATGCTGATTTAACTAGATGAAAAAAGCTTTACTGTAATAATGCAGTAGCCATGCAGTTAGGTAGGTATAGAAATAAAATCAACCTTAAGAATCATGTTGTTAAAACCTTATTTTATAGTTAAACTAGAATCTAAATAGGGTCTGAGAATTCTGTGATTCTCTATATATTTGATTTTATATGACATTTTTACTATTATCTTAAATGATTTTATTCTGTTAAGACAGAATTTTTCATAAAAGTAAAGAGAAAAATATACCTATTAAAAATAATTATTACTATTATTTTTTGTGGTGCTGGGGATCAAACTCAGGGTGTCATGCATGGTAGGCATTCTGCCATTGAGCCATATCCCTAGCCCTGTACTTTTTTTTTACAGTTATATTTTGAATTTGGTCTATTTTAAGATAACATAGAGGTTAACTTTTTATTTGTTAAGAGGCAACAAATTCATGGTCATTAATTGAAAATACTAAAAGAAGGCTTTTATATTACCAATGATGCCATTACATTACTGTAGAAATTTAGTGTTTCGTAAATATTAGCTTTTATTTAGTCTTTTCAAAGCTAGAGTTATTAGTTATAATATATAAGAGGAACTAAAGGTACAATGAGAAGTTTTAAAGTCTTAGGAAATCTGAAAAGAATGTACTTTAGTTGTTGATATTGGGAGTTAGTTTTGGCATTGTACAAGATGAAAATGTTTAAAGGAATGTGGTAAAAGTGTTTTTTAAAAGAATTTTATACACACATATACATCCACAACAAATATATATATATATTTATTGTAGATGGACAACAAATATATATATTTGTTGTAGATGGACACAGTACCTTTATTTAGTATTTTTTTTTTTAATGTGGTGCTGAGGATCCAACCCAGTGCCTAATGGTGCTAGGCAAGTGCTCTACCACTGATCTACAACCGTGGTCCGTGAAAATGCTTTTAAATAAATAGAAGTGTAATAAGTTTTAATGAGTATTCTGTATGAGCAATAATGAAAATTATATAGTATCTGAAGGACAATAAAAATTACTTGGTAGAGAGTTTAAAAATATGGTATACATGAGTTTCTTTGTTATTCTCTTAAATTTTCACATTTCCTAATTATTTTCATTGGTGTTTCAACTGATGACTCAAGATGTTGATATTGAAAGTTTGGTTCTTGTCCCTGATGCTGATCAAGGTTTTGAAAAAAAGTAAAAAGTTTTACTGCTTTGCTAGCAAAGGAGAAAGGCAATAGACTCAAGTCACAGAGGCTACCATTCAAACTACTACAGAGGGCTTTATAAAGGGAAGTATAGGCCTATTTTCCAGATATTGTCAGTAAATGTGATGAACGTTTAACTTTGTCCTTAGGAGAGCTATTTTTCTATTTCCAGGTCCAGAGTTTCTTTGTTCAGGTTGGCAGTAAACCAAAGGACAGATAACTTAGGCAGGAAAGAGTATTTTTGTTTTCCCTTCAGTTATGGATAGGAAAGGAGGAAAGGAAAAAAATGTCAGTTTTAAAAGAAGTTTCCAGCGATTGAGCAACAAGGTTTACATTCAAAACATAAAGTGGGCC